TAGTGTCAACTTGAGGGGTGTTTTCTAAAAGTTTTTTTATATACATTTTGTGTTCTATCATTCATTTTGAGGGACTTGGTTACAACGTATTGTGGTTATAATTTACAAATTCTTAATGTCCCCCGAGGTACGTTGTAACGAAGTTCGACTGTAATAATAAACTATTAATATTATTATTCATAATTAATAATGATCATCAACAATAATAATAATTATTATTGATGTTGCTGTTGATAATAAATTATTAATAATTTCATTAATCACTAATAATAATGATTGCTTGCCTTGGTGACTGTGTGCAGTTTTAATTAAAAAGGGGCTGTCAAACAAAACTTCTGCAGGCCTTGCATGGGCTTACTCACAGGGGGGCTGTGTGGGTTTTCATGCAGGGCCCAAATGGGCACATTTGATGGGTTGTTCAACATCTTGGACATCTCCAATTGTAGACTCTTGAGATCCAGGGGAGAAAAAAAAATTAAATTTTTTTTTTGATTTGACAGGAAGAGTAGGTTGGCAAGGTCACATCTGCAAACATGTAACATCACCTTAAAGCTCTAACTGTCCTCTTTAAGAAAAAACAGGCAAAACATAATATGAACAAAAATATAATGTCAGGAGGATAATGCATTTGTCATCTGGATGGCACTGAATCCATAATGGAAAACAGGAAAGCTCCAGAAATAATGGTCTTCAAAAGCTGGGCAAGGAATTGATAAGACCTCAAATCCAAAGTGCCATTTCGTGAAAATTGTATGGAAAAAGGTGAACAAATTTGTCTGAAAATAGCTTAGGACCTTGCCTTTCAGAAGGTATAAGACTTTTTTTATACCTTAAGAGAAAATTCCGAGAAATAGCCTGTCCAACTTTGCTAACACAAAATAACGGATTTCGAACAGCCTTTTCTTGAACATTTTACAGTAAAAGTTGAACAAATTCTGTCTGGAAAAGCCTTGGACCTTCCCCTTCAGATGCTATATGACTTGTTTATATATTTTGGGAAAGTAAGAAATTAATAGTATTCAAGTACATCCTGTACATCGTACATATGAGTATTAACTAGGGCTGCATGATATTGGGAATAAATCACATTGCAATATTTATGCTTTCTGCGATATATATTGCGATATTGGGATTTTAAAAATTCTAATTAGTTCAATAGCTCTATTGCAGGGGTATTCAACTAAAATTTAAAGAGGTCCAGTTAGAGAAAATTTCTTGAAGCAAAAGTCCGGAAGATCATAATTAGTGATCGACCGATATTGATTTTTTATTACCGATACTGATACCAATTATTTGCATGTTTATGTGCCCGATAACCGATATTCAGAACCGATATTTATTTACTATTATACTTCTGTTTTTGACACAATGATTACAACACCACTGAACTGAACAAACTGTTTTATTTATAACAATCACTTCCTCCTTGCATACTGTCACGTTTGGGAGCAAGGAAACAGGAGAGCAAGCCAGGACTTTAGGTAAACTGGGTTTAATTAACCGAAAACGGACAAACACGGACAATACGTAACAATAGAATGACGGATCTGGCATACATGGGGAGACGCGGACTCATATACACAGGACAAGGCAAAAGAAACAGGAAACAGCTGGGCACGATCGGGGAAGCACACGTGGATAATGAGGGGGCGTGGCACACACTAGGAGCGGACGGAGCGGGGCGTGACATAACCCCCCCCAAAAGGCGCGCACACTGGGCGCGCCCGAGAGGAGGCGACGGACAGGACGAAACCGGGGAACAGGACCTGGAAGACAAAAAGCAAAACATCAACGAGGGACAGGGAACAGGACAGAGACACAAAACAAAAACAAGGACCAAAAGAAAGACAGGACCTGACAAAGGACGGGGAACGCAGACAGACCAAGAAGGGAGACACAGAAGGGGAGAAAGGCGGAACAAAAGGGCCAGGAGTGAACGGAGGAGGAACAAAGGGACGAGGAGCAGAGACAGGCTGGACAAAGGGAAAGGGAGGAGGAAAAAGGGGATCCCGAGGGAGCCCAGGCGGGCGACGGGCAGCGGCCGGAGGGGCCGCAGGGGAGAGGGATGAGGGAGCAGGAGGGGACCACCCAGGGGCCAAGGGAACGGGACGAGGGAGTGACGGAGGGGACACGGAGGGAGCAGGAGGGAACACCAGTGCAGGCAGGCAGGAGGGGGAAGCCGCGGCAGGCGGAGGCGGAGCCGGCGAAGGCGCCGTCTGACGCTCAGCCGGAGCAGGGGGGCCCGGAGGCAGCCGACACGGACCCGGAGGCGGGACCGAGGACCGGCACCGAGGGCCGCGGGCAGGACTGGAGAGGCGGCGTCAGGCAGGGCCGCGAGCAGGACGGGTAAGACAGGCAGTTCAGGTGCCAGCAGGACAGGCGAGACAGGCAGTTCAGGTGGGAGCGCCTCGGCGGGTGCCTCTGGCGTGCGACCAGCAGGGGCCGCCTAGGCAGGCACCTCGGGGGTGAGGCCAGCAGGGGGCGCCTCGGCGGGCACCTCGGGCGTGAGGCCAGCAGGGGGCGCAACCGTGGCCACCGCAGGCATTGCCGTAGGCAGAGCGGTGGCAGCTGCAGGGACTGCATGCGGGTCAGGCGGGTCAGGCTGGACAGGCGGTGCCGCTGGCAATACGGCGGAAGCTGCAGCAGGCGGTGCCGCAGGCAGAGTGGCGGCATCAGCAGCAAGCGGTGCCGCGGGCAGAGCGGCGGCGGCAGCAGCGGGCGGAGCCGCGGGCAGAGCGGCGGCGGCAGCAGCGGGCGGTGCCGCGGGCAGAGCAGCGGCGGCAGCAGCGGGCGGTGCCGCGGGCAGAGCAGCAGCTGCAGGCGGTGCCGCGGGCAGAGCAGCGGCAGCAGCAGGCGGTGTAGCTGCTGGCAGGTCCGAAACGGGCGTCAGGAGGGGAGCCGAGCGGCTAGGCGCTGCCCCTTTAAGGGCTTTAGAGACCCGTGGTATAGCGTCTCTTACGACAACACATGTATGCCGCCGTGCCCTTCCTGGGGGCCTGCTCCTTACTCCCCGCCTGGGAGGACCCCGCCGCTGCCCGCCTGATCAGTGCCCGCCCGGAGAAGCCGCCCCCGATGGAGGCATACAACTACCGGCCGGCGCGCCTGGGTCAAGGCAGAATACGCGCAATTAGGGACGCTATCCCTCGGGTACCGAGAGCCTTTAACGGAGCAGCGCCTCATCGCTCGGCGCCTCTCCTACCGCTGGTGCCAGACCTACAGGCTCCGGA